AAATCAAGCAAAAAATCAGGAATTTTTTAAAATTTACTCAGCTCCGATAGTACCTACATGAAGATATAGCATCTTAAAATTTTTCAGCACTCTCAGAATCGTGGTTCTCTTATCATTGTCGTCGTCGCGCCAGTCACAGACAACTTCTCGCACAGACATGATAGGTGGACTGTCATATAGTTTTTGGGCAGCCAACATGCGACACCGCCTCGCGCGGGACAAAAAGGAACTATACCCATCTCAGTTTCAAAATGATTGGATTTTTATAGAAAAAAGTTTCCTGATGTTTTTGAATTCGCTGAAGACAAGTTAGATAATATAATTTCAAAATACAAAATGGCGGACCCAATATGTCGGGCAAAAAATTTCAGACTGATTTGATTTATATAAGAAAGAAGGATTTCTCTACAATTTTGGGATCACTCAATTCAAATATGACAACAGAATGTGAATTTCATAATTCAAAATGGCGGATCGAATATGGCGAATAATATATTTTCAAAAAGACTGGATTGTTATAAAAAATCGTTTTAGCGTAGTTTTTATAACCGCTTAATCCGAATCTGGTAACAGAACTTTGAAGTTCAAGATGGCGAATCCAACATGGCGGATTAAAATTTATGAATGGTTGAATTTTTATAAAAATAAGTTTCTCGCGGTAGTCGTGGTCGCTGAATTTAAATGTGGCAACAAGATTTTAAAACGCAAAATGGCGGATAGAAAATTTTAAAACGATAAAATTTGGTTCGAAAACATGCTTTCTTAAGATCTTTATGAGCATTGATTCCAAATCTGGAAACGATATTTTAAAATGCAAAATGGTGGATTCAATATGGAGGATAAAAATGTAAAAATGGTTGGATTTTTATAAAAATGAGTTTCCCACGGTAGTTGTGCTCGCTGAATTCAAATCTGACAACAAAATTCCGAATTTCAAAATGGCGGACAGGAAATTACAAAATTGTTACATTTTTTATTTAAGAAAAACGGGATTTTCAAAATTTGCTTTCTTTTCCAAGATTACAAGAGGTTGCTAAATCCATTCTGGAAATAGAATTTAGTAATTAAAAATAGCCGACCTAATATGGCGGATAAAAATGTAAAAATAGTTGGATTTTTAGAAAAATGGGTTCCTCACGGTTCTCGTGGTCGCTAAATCCAAATTTGATACTAGAATTTCAAAATTCATGTTGGCGGATACATTATGGTTCCATTAAAAATGTTGAGGGTATTAATATAAACAAAATATATATACTGCGTATACGAAATATACATATTCTTAGTAGCTTTTTATCAAATTATATGTTTGTAGTAATTATATTTTGATATTATATGAATATATCAGATACATTTGCCAATTTTATTATTAATAATAGAGACATTAATATTTTTTTTCCGAAAAGGAGTGAAATACCCTCAAAACACCTTCGGTGTACAAAAATTTAGCTAAATACATTTACCTTTATTCAAGTAATTGCAAAAATAGCTCAAATTGCTCGCTTCCCATGAAAAGCTCAAATCAACTATTTTTGTCAAATATAGTAGAACATTGATCCCATTAAAGTCTTAACTAAAATCTTTTTGCCAAATGTCACAATACGTTTGGTTTCACATATTTGTATGTACAAGATTTTCTGCTTCCTCAAACCGAAGACAAATATTTGAAACTATATCGAAACAAATAAAAAAATTAGGATCTCAATTTGAAAACAACATTTTATTTAGCGAACATCAAAATGATCATATGTTAGGAGTACCTTGGGCGCTCGCCGAATAGAATGTTTTCAAATTTAGTTCTTAATTTTTTGATTTGTTTCGATTTAGTTTTTAATATTTGTCTTCGGCTTGAGGAAGCATAAAATCTTGTACATACAACGTACGTGAAACCAAATGTACTGTGACATTTGGCAAACAAATTTTAGCTAAGACTTTAATGCAATGAATGTTGTACTATATTTGGCAAAAATAGATTATTTGAGCTTTTCATGGGAAGGGAGCAATTTAAGCTATTTTTGCAATTAATTGACTAAAGATAAATGTATTCGGCTAAATTTTTGTACGCCGAAGATGTTTTGAAGGGATACTCTACATACTACAAACATTTTCCTTACGGACGTAACATGCAAGATCATTCCCTACGTACCTAAAATATTTGGAGAACACCTTACGGAAGAATTCTTCTTTTTGGGTTCAAGAATAATTAGTCCCCGTGAATTAATAATAGGACAAATCATATATTGGGTTGTTCGGAAAGTAATTTCGTTGTTTCCCAACAGAGGATTTAATTTTTTTTTCACAGCCAACTTCACACTTAAGCCGCATAATCATTATATATTTGGGCAGCTGATCTAGCAAGGCTTGCTTGTGAAAAAGTTTGATTGATTCTACGCGGTAGTTTTTTGTTGGTACCCTTTCAAATATGGAAAGTGAAAAGCGGCATTTTCGGCATATTTTACTTTTTTACTATCGAAAAGACAAAAATGCTGTTCAAGAAAGAAAAAAATTATCCGACGTGTATGGAGAAGATGTATTGACATAACGCCAGGGTCAAAACTGGTTTGCAAAATTTCGATCCGGCAATTTTGATATTGAAGATGCGTTCCACGTTCTGGAAGGCCACTTAAAGCCGATGAAAACACAATGAAGGCATTAATTGATGCAAACCGGCGAATAACAACTCGTGAAATCGCTGAGAGATTAAATTTATCAAATTCGACCGTTCATGATCATTTGAAACGCCTAGGTATAATCTCAAAGCTCGACATATGGATTCCTCGTGTTCTTACGGAAAGAAATTTGTGTCATCGCATTGGCGTCCGTGATTTGCTTCTCAAACGTCAATAAAATGATCCATTTTTGAAGCGCATCATCACTGTGGACGAGAAATGGGTTGTCTACAACAATGTTACACGCAAGAGATCTTGGAGTAAAGAAGATGAACCGGCTCAAAGAACTTCGAAAGCCGAAATACATCAAAAAAAGGTGATGGTATCTGTTTGGTGGGATTTCAAAGGAATCGTTTTTTTTAGATTCTACCGAACAACACAACGACCAATTCTGAAGGGTACTGTCCCCAGCTGGACAAATTGAATGATTCACTTAAACAGAAGAGACCAGCATTGATCAATAGAAAAGGTGTAGTGTTTCACCAAGATAATGCGAGACCTCATACAAGTTTCTTAACTCGTCAAAAGCGTCTACAGCTTGGATGGGATATACTGCCACCCCCACCATATTTTCCAGATCTGGCACCTTCCGATTATTACTTGTTCCGGTCTCTACAAAATTTTTTAGACGGTAAAACTTTTACTTCAAATGAAGAGGTCAAAAATCACCTGGATCAGTTTTTTGACAGCAAAAACCAAACATTTTATGAGCGTGGAATCATGCTCCTGCCAGAAAGATGGCAAAAGGTATTGGACCGGAATGGACAATATATAATTCAATAAAATATTTATTCGCTATAAAAAAATCGTCTTTCATTTTCATAAAAAAAAAAACGAAATTACTTTCCGAACAACCCAATAATTAGTGAATAATTGTTGAGCCATTCGAATCTCCCGCCCTTTGGCGGTCGGACGCAGCGTCGCCACTGTGAGCGACTGGAGCGCTGTCAAAAGAATCCCACTGGGCCTTGCGTGCATAAATCGATTGTCATGGCGCGTTATCTTCCTGAATAAATGACATTTTGTATCTACCCACGCTTTTTGTATATTCTCGTTCAACGCTCCATTCCCTGCCGAATTCCAGTCTAATAATAATAACAGGGTGAAGGAAATTGCTGTGAATGTACACTGCCACTTATGTATTGTGGAACGTTGTCCTTTTGCTGTACAAGATGATGGCAACACGTTTTACTATTTATTTACGTATTTATCAATTTATTTGTTCATTAATCCTTTTAGTGCCAAACAACGATACATCGTTGTTTTACAAGTGCTAAGGACTTCGGCCGGTACTAACAAAGTTAATATGTTTCTCAGTTAATTTTTTTTTAGTGTAACTTATACGTTTAGTATACGTCGTTTATTTGTGAAAACGTGGTTGCTCTAGGAACGTATAAAGTACGTATATCAAACCTACGAGTAAAATAATTTATATTTGTTTACATAGAGTGTACGTATATTTTACGTCTGTGGCAGATCTGTTTTTCTTCCCGTAGTATAAACGCAACATACGTGCGTTAGATGTCTTTGGCATGTGTAATATCGCAGATACAAGAGTCTATCAACTAGAGATGTATTATACGTTTATTAAACGTATTTAATTGATGAATTGGTAGATGCTCTAGTAACGTATAATATACATATATCAAACATGCGAGTAAAATAATGTATATTTACGTACATAACATATATGTACATTTTACGTCTGATACATCAATTTTTCTTCCCTTAATATACGTATAACATACATCCATTATATGTTTTCTGCATGTGGAATACTACACATACAAATTCCTGTTAAATAGAGGTATATTATACGTTTACTAAACGTATTTAATTGGTGAAAATTTTGATGTTCCAGTAACGTATTTAATACATATAATGTACATCTAAAATCCAATAGAATATGTTTGACATTCCGTAAACATATATTATATGTATATTTTTAACTTCTGTTATACTGAAACATCCCGTAGCCATGAGAACATTCTGTGTACGTATAATAGAGCTTTTGTTCCGTGTGGGATGTTCATATTAATTATTTTTCAGATTCGTTCAGTTAAACATTGGTATTCAGTCAACGTTTATTGGTTTAATGTATAGAAGGAAAGTATAATTTCAATTTAATGATATGTTGTATTATATGTATAGTATAAGTATATAAGTGAAGCATCAAGATGTAAACTTATTTTCGATACAGGACTTTTTATTTTAATAAATACGTTATGCCAGTTAATTTTTTTTTTAGTGTAACGGGCCTTTATGTTTGCTACAAGAATAATTTCTTTCACAGTTTCATTCTATACGAAATTTATAAGTTTCACCAAGTGTTGATGCTACATCTGTCATGTAACATCGATATGGATTTTTTAACGCGCTGTAAAACAATTTCATATTCCATATAAGAACTTACCTAGCTTCGCAATGATTGCATCGGATTCAAACTGCATCCGCCCTCGTTTCGGAGAATCTTCCGAAAACAATGTGGACTTGCTGAGATCGCGAACGATGCTCGTAATTGGAGAAACCATGGCTGAGGCCTCCAATGTCGTTTTACGAACTGGTGATTCCCCTTCGACCTCCGAGATCTTCGAGAGTAGAACATGACCGCGCCAACGAGACATTCTATAGAACAAATTTTACGTCAGTTACATTTGGTTGCAAAGGTTTTTCAATTAAGGTGCGGTCAATATATAGGTAAATAAAATGACAGACTCCTAGTGCTTATAGACAATATTACGACGGAAATGATGATTTTCCACTAGAAGAAATAAACAGCCGTATAGAATTATTTGTAATTACTTTCACAGGGTAGAAGATGAAGGAAACACCCAGTCCGCAGGTACTTAAACTCCAAGGCAGAACTGTTTTCTGAAATAGAAAAAAAAAAACCCTTAGATCACATTCATGGATCACCACATTATGCAAGTTGCATTTTTTAAATGAGGAACGCGTTGAATCGGTTAACCGCTCTTCTATATTTCTTCCCGTAAAATATTTTACAACAAATAGTTATAAACTCTTTCGGCAACAGTGTGTAACAATGTTTAACATGTTCTGCAATTATGAGAGTAATTAATATTTTTGATGCAAATATAATATATTTAATCATGCTTTAATGCATCGTGATTAGCATACATATATTGAGAAAAAAATTAACTGAACCAAAGAAACATTTCTTTAAACGGTATCACAAAAATGTGTTGTTAATTCAAAGAAGTAATTATTTGACTCTGTTGCGGAAGTTCGAAGGAAAGTCTGAACACGGGTTGCACTGGATGTGAGAGCCAAATTTGAAGACTGGTTAATTCTCGACGAAATCTCGAGTCAGGTCGGGTTTATAAGTTCGGGCACATGACTTGAATTCGTAACAGAAATAGTTTATTAAAAATAACGAGTAAGTCCGATAACAATTGTAGAATATGACACTATGAACAATTGTAGAATATGACACTATGAACAATTGTAGAATATGACACTATGAACAATTGTAGAATATAACACTATGAACACTATGAGCGGTCGCACGGTACAAATTAGCGGGTGACTATTTGGAGTCGCGGTGAGACTTAATTGTCTCTAAGAGCAGGAGATGTCCGTCTCTCGCGGTAGAAGATTTGATTCTGCCGATGCCCAGAGGAACTTTGGTCCAGAGCGCTTTCGGATGCTGTCCTCTAGGGCGGAGTTTTTTACAAAGCGTTTACTGATAGGCGTAGAGAAATTAAAGTGGGATCGATAATCGAAGGCGATTGGTTAATGAGTATTGAGAAAGGGAAAAGTTAGTATTGTTTAAGGAGGCTTAGGTGGGGAATAACGAAAATGGGCTATAGGACTAGAAGTAAACAAATCATGGACTAAAGGACCGCGGTAGTAGATAAAAGAGCGAAGCGCTAGAGTTTCTGTTTAGACATCAATTTAAATTATAAGCATAATACGTGACTGAATCAATGGTGCTATATGACATGAGAGACACGAGAAAGAATAAACGGAACTTGAAATACGGAAGAAATAGAACACCCAGATCGTTGCAGAGAGCATTCCAAATTAAAATCTAGCGTTATAATTATTAAATTATGGATTAGTCCTAACAGACTCAAATAAATTGGGTATAACATTATTTCAGAATTATGACAATTTATTTGAGTTTGTGAGTCAAATAATTATTCTTTGAATTGACAAAATGTTTCTTTGGTACTATTGAAAGAAATATTTCATTGGTGCAATGAATGTCCTTTGTCTGTATATATTCCTTTATAGACCTGTTCTTAAAGAGGTTTTCTGGTCTAGAGATTTGAAAAACTCAATTTTTTTTTATTGCAATTTCTAATAGTTTAAGTTTACGAAAATGTACCTTCAATTGGATCTGCTTCAATTAAAAAAAAATAGCGGAGTTGTAAAGGTTGAAAGAAGAGCACACCGCACATGACGCAACCAATGGTTACATTACAATTGCGTCATAATACCTTTATACACAATTATGATACCGAAAATATTTTTAATTAGGATTACGGGTTCGTTCAGTGAGGAGAAGTCACCTTTACGATCCTAATCTGACTAAGTAGCTGTAAACCAAATGTATATAATAAAATCCCGAACACAATTAGGGGAGACTCAGGTCAAATGTAACACGGGTCAATTGTAACAAACGTTATAAATTATTTATTCAAACTTGAAAAATCGTAATGAAGCAGTTGAAGCTTTCCATGGGTAGTATGAATACCTCGCAGTCGTTTCATGTTTGTTAAATGAGGCGTTCTCTTCTTATTTTGATTTTTCGTGATACGGCATGGGTGAGTAATATTTTTATAAGTTCAATATTTTCGACTTATATTTAATCTGGAGTGGATAAAACTGATTTAATCATACCACAGTATTACACTTACACATGCTCATTATATGTTTAATGCATTTTAAATTTGAATGGCTTTAAATTGCTGTAATTGTATAAATTATTTAAGAAAAACCACCAGGGACATTTGTAATAAGTTAGTGTCACAAATGTAACATGGTACATTTGACCTCGATCATCTACGGTCCCGCGAATAAATTTGTTAAAATATATTTCTTGCAAATTCTTCGAACATGCCCCGTGCTCGTAAAAGGATATCGAACCGAAGTCCATCTGGAGATATTATGAAACGCATTGCAGATTTAGTTATAAATAAAAATCATAATCAGAAAAATGTAGCCACAGATTTCGAAATTTGTCATGTGATTTTAAATAGGTACGTAAAAGGCCTAAAGAAAGGGAAGGAAATGGTTATGGGGTAGAAACCCCATACCAAAGTTTTATCTCATGAAAATGAACAGGCTTTTTGTGAATATATTTGTAAATCCGGTAAATGTCTCGGATTATCTCTAAAGGATATATATAGCGTTGTACATAACTAAAAGTAAAGTGGGCCAGATTTAGATTCAGTGCCACCAATGCAAAATATGGTCCCATAAGAAAAAGAATCAGTAGAACGGAAAATAAGATGGTAATTTCTACATTTATTGTTCGAAATGTAATACTGCTTTAAAATGTGGCATATTTATATATATTTATTTATATATATATATATCCTATATAAGTAACTTTTGTCGTGTTCATATGTATTTACCAAGAAATAGTTATGAAATATAGTTATTTGAGTATGCTTGTATTAATCAGTAGCGTTACACTTGCCCCGACGAGGATTACAACCGTACCTGCAACAGTTGCAATTGTAACAAATACATTTAGTACAGAAAATAACTATTGGTGATATTCATAGGATCCTGAATCATTCAAATGTAGGCTGTCTTTCAGAGGAAGATTCACTTAATATATGGCCCAAATTTCGATCATAAAGAGCTATTACAATTAATTGAAGAAATATATACGTAAAAATTGTTACAGTTGACCTCGGACTCCCCTATATACGAAATTTTAACACATTGTGCCTTAAGAACTTTGACTAGATGCATTGTAGTTCGACTATATCGCGAACAGATATTTTTAACGCTATATATTGTTAAATGTCGACTAACATTATAAACGGACTCCCGAATTTGTGAATAATTCACATTATCTCCGATGTTACGTGCAGCTATCTCGGAAATCATTAATTCCTGTATCAGATAACGTTCAATCTAAGAACACTTCCATGAACATTACATGAACCATTTGAATTCCGGTAGATTTCTTTCCTCCGGAAGTATCCTTAGCATACGTAATCTATAAAACACCGACGTAAACACAGTCATCCCATATCTGTACGATAAATCCTCATGAATGCAATAACGGAAACAAAACGGGAACCAGAAACTACTTTTACTTTAAAGAGAATAAATTTGCATTTTACGATTAGACGAATGTTACGGCACTCCCTTCAGATAAGAGATAACACTGCCAACGGTTCTTGTACTGCTACGCAGAAAAACAATTCACAGCCATAACAAAACATTTGACTCGCTTCGGCAACTGTAAACACTTGAAAATGGGCTAGTAGCATTTTTCGTAGACGTGCTTTTGCTTTATGGACAATATAAAGATTATTACTTCATTGAGGTAAAAAAAATGTTATTGTGGTTACAATATTCCTTACTAGCGACAACAAACTGGATATCGCTCATTTGATCGAGTAGTAACAACATTTTGTTGACTATTGCTGCAATTTTATTTACTAACTTAGCAAGCATTTTATTTACCGGAAGCTCTCCTGTGGTTACATCTAAGTTTGATACAATTATAAACATTTTTACTGTGGGTATAATTGTTACTGCAGGAAGAGCAAAACTTTATCGGAAATTCTGTCTTTTATTAAGAGTGTAAATGTCATCTTTTCAATGCATGGCCGTGGCAAACACAAGAGAATAAATAATTGTATATAATCTTATGTAATTCTATGTAATTATGTGCTCTACCGTATATAGTTGTATAAAGTGTTAAAGATGTATCGATATTTCGAACACTCTCGAAAATAAATGTATACTAAAATTAGACAGAATAAAAACCGGACAAATGTATACCACATTTTGAAGAACATCATGTCTGCGTTACATTTTGTACAAAGCTATTGAACATTTTTAAGAAAACGATAACATGGGAAAATAAATTAGTAGAAATATTAATAAATGCACTGCAATGCGCTTTTCTCAAAATTCATACAATTGCGAATGCGTACATGATCGAAAATAAGTATACAAAAGTAGTAGTTTTCGTATACATATCTTAGGACAGTCGTAGACTCGTATATTTATGACTGTCAATAAAAATAAATGCAATAGTCAACATTTAATACAAATTTCTAAATTTATAAGTTTACACCATCATGTTACAATTCTGTGAAATTGTGTAGAAAATTAATACATTTATATACTAAATGTATATCATGTTATCAATTTACGATATATGTGTCTAAAATATATGAGTTAAATATTATAATGTTAGTATATTATGTCAAAATAAATTATTCAACAAAAATGTTTAAAAATTACATTTTTTTAACAGCGCATTTTGGTTTTCATATAACTGGTAAAGGCCATTTAGTGTTTTGCATCGATTCTCTAATACCATATGTATACTTCCTATTCGAAGTACATCGTATACCAGTCAACTGAACGTCTGTACACTTCCGCTAAATTTTTTTCGCGTGTCCCAAACTACTTTTGATAAAAAGTTGAATTTTCGGCTTAATGGTTTCGAGCGTTAAGTCTCCAACACCGAGCCGTGGAATAAACGGCTAGAAAAAATCGATATTATCCAAAACTGACGATGCCACACCGTTAACAACCACAACTGTACACCGATGACATCTTGGAGGCCCACGTGCGTACCTGCCGATCCGATCAGCTGATCACTCTTCGCTGATGTCTTCAAATTCTCAAGAATTTAAATTCAAGTAATATAATCAAAAATATTACGGGAATGCAAAAATCCTCATAGAATTTCAGAGAATTTATTAACTTTTATAAAATAATTTATTATTTTGGATAGTATTAATTATATTTTTTACGACTGTGATAAATCTGTTCCTTGAAATGAAATACTACTTATCGTAGTCTTTTCTATCAGTATTTGTAGACAATATAAGAACATATGCAATTCGAGTTAAAAATAACGGCTGCACTAACCCAATTATCTTTGTCATAGTAGCCTTCAAAAGAAAAGTTAAGTATATTTAATACATATGGATGTGTCTAAATCAATAAAAGGCTTTCGAATTATTTTCAACGTTTAGTTCAAGCGAATTATGAATAAAATAGAGTTAAAGGATTATTTAAGGAAGTTTTTCTTCAGCATTTCTATAATCGAGTTATCTTTAAACCAAAATGTCCCTTTAATTTGTAGTCACCTTCTTGTTTCCAATGAGATTTCGTTTCCGCAATTTTCGTTATAATTCTTGTCAATCTCAAGATACACATAAAAAAGATTAAGGCATTAGGTTAGAAGATTAATCGCAGCTTGTTCACTTACTGAATGTCCAGAAATTCTGGTATTGAGACTTTAAAGTGCTAAAATCTAGACACATTGTTACAATTATCACAAAGCACAATCTCTCATTATTTATTGAAACTGTTGAATATAACTTGAATTTTATTTAATGAATTGAAATTCTCCTAAATTGAGCAAGAATAAAATCATCGGTTAATTTTTCGATTACTGATTACTTACCCGAGTAATATAACTCATTAAAGACTCTATTCAAGACCGAGCGGGTGAATGCGAATTTCGAGCTTGAGTTTGACCACGGGCGATTTCACTTCGTCTTTGAGATACGTAGATAGAACAATAATCGATAATCTGAACTAGGTAAACTCGCTTAGAGAAGACGTAAGCGAAAGTGGCATGTCTCGCAAGGTTAGTAGGTTGTAATTAAAGGTTACTTGGAGACGACCGTAACCTACGCTCGAACGTCGATTAACGTCTCGGCTTGATCTCAAAGCAACTCGAGGAGGTAATTGATCCTGTCGCGCCCGAACATCGATATACACTGCGAAATAAGTTAGCTTACACGGTGACCCGTCAAGTGTAAACAAAGATGACCGACGGTTACAGAGAAAGGAGAGTATCAAAACTGTCGCGACATAAGCGTCACGAACTCTCGTTGGCTACTGACCGACTTAAAGCTGCCTAAGAAAAGCTGGGTGAATATTTACGATAAACAAAGGTCCGGCCCATCGGTTGCGACCGTTAGGGAATTCAACGAATCGCGGGGAAGGAGAACTCTTGGCTACGAAATCGCGTGTATGGGTATATGAATGAGCGCGGGAGGTCCAGGAAGGGCGACGGATCTCCTCTCGTCTCCTCTCTTCTCCGCTTCCCCGCAATGGCGTAACCGTCGCGAGCGATACCGCGCGATCGGGACTACTCACTGATATGTACACAATTCAAAATATCCGTTTCAAATCTTAAGGTGAAGTGAAACACGTCGAGGAACTTGATCGACGTCGATAAAGATTTTTCTAAATGCCTACGTTGCCGACGTTCGTTTTTATATTGACAGCTGTATCGAATTATATTGCATATTGTACCAAATGGCATACTCCGCCTGTCGTTTTCGCACAATAAATATCAAGAAATCGAAGTAAAACTCCAGAAATCCTCTGGATTCAAGCTTTCTGGGGCCCCAATTGACTGCAGAGGGACACCCTGCGCCATCTGTGATTTCCAGATCAATTAAATTTTCAGTCCGAGACCCTGTATTACCATCGTTTTAGCATAGAAGCGCATACGACACTTTTTTTGCCCTTATTCCGTTCAAATGCGAGTTTATCGATTACCAGAGTGTTCTAAATTGTCGTAAAATTGTCCTGACCCTTTCGAATCTCATATCAGAGCCTTCGATAATCGTATATTGATTGAAATATGAGAGTTCGACGCCAATTTGGTTCTGGTCTTGGTTGAGTTAAAAAATTTTGTTGAAAAATCCAAATGTTCAATGGGTCAGGACAATTCTTAGATGATCAGAAGGGATGTGTCAAAGTTTCGGACAGTTTGATCTAATACCCTTAAAAAAAAGTGTTGTATTCAAATCGACTGATCTGAAGGGTGTTTCACTTCACCTTAAGTACTCAAAATTATAAACAAATACGAAACGGGCCAGAACATTCTATGATAAGAGGAAGCCGAACAGCGACAATTTCTGTGAAGCATATCGACGAAAAAACGAAAGTGCAAGCACTTTTTTTAGACTCCCGTACGAACCCAGGGGAAATCAAGTTTTACATAAAAAGTTTGACTTATGATATATTGTAAAGAACTGTATCATAGAGTAGATTCTCGTCCGTAGTAAGTTTTCAAGTAGACCGATCACATCAGAGTATCCCGCCTTTAGAAAACAGTTTATAATGATTACCTGCTCAGAAATTACCATTTTCATTTATTTCTGCTAAAACTTCATAATGGCACAGTGGTTTTGTCAAAATATGAAAAATTGTCAAAAAAATGAATACATAACTAAATTTTTGAATAATTTTACGTCTACACAATTATTGGTGGTCATTTCTGTAGCCACATATTCTACCAATATGTATGCAGAATATAAACTACGTGGAACGAAAAATTGTTGAAATCTCTGATGACAAAGCATGAAAAAAGCATTTATTGGAAAATGACTATGATTTTTCAAAACAGATTTTTATGTAGAATGATGACATGTATCTAAAAGCATGGTTAATATCAGGCTTAAACTGTACTTACGTGTTGTGTTTCGTTTTTTCCTGTACCTATTTGAAAAACGGATATTTGCAAACTCTATATAAAATTTCAACTGACTGACTCACTGACTTAGAAATAATCAATACCCAGCGTTAAGGTGAAGTGAAACCCCCTTCAAATCAGTCGATTCGAATACAACACTTTTTTTAAAGGGTATTAGACTAAACTGTCCAAAACTTTGACACATCACTCCTGATCATCTAAGAATTGTCCGGACACATTCAAAATTTCGATTTATGGAAAAAATTGTTTAACTCAGCCCAGACCAGAACCAAAATGGCGTCGAGCTGTCATATTTCGATCAATATACAATTATCGAAGGCCCTCACATGAGAATCGAAAGGGTCAGGACAATTTTACGACAATTTAGAACACTCTGGTAATCGATAAACTCGCATTTGAACGGGATAAAGGCAAAAAAAGCGTTGTATGCGCTTCTATGCCAAAACGATGGAAATACGAGGTCTCGGAGTTAAAATTTAATTCACCTGGAAATCACAGATGGCGCAGGGGGTCCCTCCACAGTCAATTAGGGCCCCAGAAGGCATGAATCCAGAGGATTTCTGGAGTTTTACTTCGATTTCTTTATAATTATTGTACGAAAACGACAGGCGGAATATGCCATTTGGTACAATACCCAATATAATTCGACCCAGCTATCAATATAAAAATGAACGTCGGCAATGTAGGCATTTAGAAAAATCTTCTTCATCGACGTTGATCAATTCCTCGACGTGTTTCACTTCACCTTAACCACTGGACCTAGAAAGTTGAAATCGTGGCTCAAAGGCTTCTCGTTAAGACGTAAACACCCACTAATAAGGGATTTTTTGGATTTCGATCCTCGCCCAGGCACCGTACAACGTGAAATATCCGTAAATTAACCGTATATAAATGTTTATTGAATGTATGTAAGATATATATAGATATCTATGAACTCTATTTTAGGTACACTTAACGCTAGATGCCCGGATATGATACGTTGTATATATCCCCTCAAAACACCTTCGGTATACAAAAATTTAGTCGAATACATTTATTTTTATTCAAATAATTACAAAAATAGCTGCAATTACTCCCTTCCCATGAAAAGCTCAAACCAACTATTTTTGCCAAATTTAGTAGAAGATTCATTTCATTAAAGTCTCAGCTAAAATTTGTTTGCCAAATGCCACAGTACATTTTGTTCCACGTATGTTGTGTGTACAAGATTTTCTGCTTCCTCAAGCCGAAGACAAATATTAGAAACTACATTGAAACAAATAAAAAATTAGAAACAAAATTTGAAGACAATAGGCGAGCACCCGAGGTATAATCCTAGCATATGATCATTTTGTTGTTCGCCAAATAAAATACTGTTTTCAAATTTAGTTCCTAATTTTTTTATTTGTTTCGATATGGTTTTTAATATTTGTCTTCGGTTTGAAAATCTTGTACATACAATATACGCGAAACCAAATGTACTATGACATTTGTTAAAAAGATTTTAGCTGAGACTTTAATGGAATGAATGTTCTACTATATTTGGCAAAAATAGATGATTTGAGCTTTTCATGGGAACGGAGCAATTTGAGCTATTTTTGCAATTAATTGAATAAAGATAAATGTATTTGACTAAATTTTTGTTCACCGAAGGTGTTTTGAGAGGATTTCACTCCTATTTGTAAAAAAAATGTTATCAACTATATTATTAAGAAGAAAATCGGCAAATATAACTAATACATTCCTGTAATATGAAAATATCATTACTACAAACATATAATTTCCAACAATAATAGAATGTGGCGGATCATACGTTTATTAATCGACATTAACATTGAAAAATGGTATATGCATATAATAAATACGTATAAAAAATACGTTTATATGACTATCAGTTCAGTGAACGTATAGTATGTACGATATTTAAACATTATAATTTAGACGTAATATATTCATTATTTTTAAGTATACCATTTCGTAGATATACACTTTTTAAACGAACAATATTACACGTTTATTCAGCGTCCTTCTACATCCGCTATTACCCCTTGTTAAACATTCAGTATTCGAATGCCATCACCATTAAATATTCCTTCATAATACGTAAAGTAAACAAATTTTAATCAAATAATTTGATATGTTTCATCAATATTCCGTTCAACTGTATATTATGGGTCTCTATTAAACATTTCAATCTCGCATAATGTTGTCATTTACAGACATTTATAATCCTCTTTCAATATACATTTTATAAATATATTATTTTATATATTTATTCAACGTCTCACTCTATCGCCTAATACTCGTTTTTATTACACTTTTATTCGTAGAATGGCCTAACAGCAATGTATTTGTTTAAAATACGTAAATTAACTCATTTTTATTCAAATAGATTTATACGTTTGTTTAACGTTCCGTCATACTGCTTATCATGGGTTACTACACGTTTACAGCAAACGTTTAATTACTTTGAATTATACCATTTTACACATACTGAATCTTTAACGGTATCGCGCAAGCGCCGAATGGAGTAGTATAGCCCGCGTAAAAGATTTGTCTCGCGTCTTAGGCTATAGCCTAGTTCTAAGGCTGGACCAGGCTGGACTGCGCGGTAAAGAAAAATGTTTGAATGCGACGATACCCCGAAACAACGCATTCCCGCTCGAAACGTTCGAGATCGCGCTGCCTACAACAGTCTCGCTTCAACTGCTCCCGCGTCATTGTGTAATACGTTGTACATTGTGCATACGCAATTGCGTTCTTAAGAGAAGACGCTTTCAATAAGAACAGTGGTAAAAGCCCACACGGACAACTAGATATGGTATACGTATATAGGATATCTGCCTAAAACATTCAGATATATAATAGATGTATACAAAAGTATACGGAATGTGCTGGGGCATGTACAAATGTCCGCGCCGTAAACGTATAGTATATGTATTTTTGAACATTCCACTTTCATTTATTATACATTCCATATGGATAAAGTATGTATATTATATGTAAACAAGATATATGGTAGATGTGTTATGTATAGTAGACGTATATAAGATATCTATTCACGTATAATATTATACGTATTTTATACATATATAAAACGTATTCCAAATGTAGGTGGAATAATTTAAAAAAGTATTATTCATTTTGCACTAAATGCATTTTTTTTAGAAACAATTTACCACGATCTGTTCAGGGACCTGAAATCTTCGAGATATACAAACATCTGACATTGAAAAAATCCCCATGGTGGTAACCGGGATTCGAACACGAATCATTTGGGTAACAGACTATCTATAGTAGTGCTGACCACTGAGCTACCGTAGTTCTACGGTTTATACGACACGTTTCGCATATTAAAACACCACAGTAATAAGTTTAATTATAATTTGGT